GGGCACGCAGCTCAGGCTGGTGTTGTGCGGGGTGAGCCCTAGTCAGAGTTGGAGGCAGCGAGGCCAGCGTCTGTCTGGGGCTGGAGCGGTGGGGGATGTCAGGCTCGAACGGTGGGGGGCTGGAGGTAGCAGCAGGTGGCAGGGAGCTCAGCCCCAGCTGGGAACAAAGCCTACAGCCTGGTAGGTACTTTGACCTCCCCTTGTCCAGCAAACGCCGTTGCTCGGGATCACTCAGGTCCTGAGAGTGCTGGACAAGGGAGGTTTGACCTGGATCAATAACCACAGCCTTGAGCACGCTGCCTGGCCACTGGAGAAAGCAAAGAGGTGGGGAAATGAAGAGTTGGGTGAAACTCAGGTGTATGGGCTCACAGTGGATAAAAAGACCTAAAGAAGAGCTCTTTGAAACTAAAAAACTTCTCTCGTCCACCAACAGAAGTTGCTCCACTGAAGGATATGACCTCATCCATCTTGTCTCTGACCTCTAGGACTGGGCCCAGAGGGTGATGCATGGTGGGGTTGCACCACAGTCACTCTATTCAGTCCGGTTTGGGGTCAAGGTAGCTCAGTTTCCACCTGGGCTTGCTGGGCAGGAGGTTCAGGTTTATGGAACTGGTCTCAGTTTCAGCTTGATGTTGAAATGTAAAGTGGGGTGAGGTTAATCTGGTCCGAAAGGCTAGCAGTGCTGTGGGCACTGCTGTCAGGGAGAGCAAGCTGCTGCAGCAGAGTCATGGAGAGCGTGACTGGGATAGTGAAACAGCAGTAAGCCTGAGAGTCCCTGCTCTGCCCAGGAACGTGGGAGTAGCAGTCGGGGGAAGGGAAGGGAGGGAAATGGGAGAGCAGTGAGGAGAGGGGCCAATGATGCAGTTCTTAATCTCACTTGGGTGGATTTTAGCAAGCAAGGATGCCCTAGCCCAAGTTGGAGTCCCAGTGGAGGAGTGGGCACAGAGGTACTGTAGACAATCTCAGAGGAAGCACGTGCAAGCCAAGGCAGCAGGACAGAGCATGCATTGTGTATCTGCACCAGGATCAAACCAAGCAGCATGATTAATGGGCATTTTTGTTTTTTGAACGTGGATCTGAAAGATGGATGAAGTAAATTGCTCCATGGGTTGGAGCAAGTGCTAGAGGAGAAGGAGAAAATACACATGGGAAACATCTGCTCCAAGAAGGTATGTTCAAAATAAGCAAGAAGGGAAGGAGAAACATCTGTGTGGCATGTGGCAGACCACCAGTGCTGCAGCAGGGCAAAAGTGAGAGGAGGAGACAAAGTAAGAGATGGCTCTGAAGCAAGCCCTAGATATTGCCAGCCCCAAACTGTGGCAGAGTCTGGCACCTTTAGCCACCTTTGTGCGTGGGATCCAGTGCTAGGCATGACTGCTAGAAGTTTGGCATCTCATTGACTAGCACAACTACCGTCTTATTCTGCTCCTCGTGCCCACAGCAGAATAGGAAGCAGGGAGGGAAATTAGCACATTCACAAAGGGAAGTGTAAGGGTTGGAGCAATCACTGGTGCAGCACCTCCTGCTGGCCAGTCTGGGAATTGACTCATCAGCCTCAGAGTGCCCACTGCTTGTTGGTATCTGTCCCTTAGTTACCAGTTGTCTTTTGCACTAGGGATGTAAGTGACTAGTCGATCAGCCAATAAGCATAAGCTTCTCGGATAGTCGAGTTGTGGCTCGACGAGTTGTTCCCTCCCCCTTGCTTCTTCTGTCAGAGAGAGGCAGCAAGTGGAGGAGCAGGAGCCAGTGCTGGGGGGAGCTGGATGAAAGACTGGTTCCCCCCAGCACCGTCTCTGCGGGGGCAGGGGAGGCAGAGGCACAGTGGGAAATGGTGCAGTTCCAAGTGCTGTGCTTCCGCTGAGCTCTCGTACGTTTCAAAGACTGAAGTGAGGCAGGTCCCCTCTGCTCTTCTGGGGCTCCCCCGTGGGCGGCTCTTGCTACATTTAAAAGGCAGAGGCATGGCCCCCCTTCTTGACTACGTGATTAGCTGATTAATCGAAATGTAACATTCCTATTCTGCACTATTCCAGACCCCATGTTCCTCCCGGCCCACAGTGCCCTTTTCCTCACAGCAGTGCTCCCGCTCTCCAGGATCCTCCCCTCCCGGGGGTTTGAACCTGCTGCCTCCTCCTGTCCCGGCTGCCTCCCTGCAGCCTTATTACTTTCAGGCCGGCCCCCTGTCTCAGACCTGCAGCCTGGGCGTTGGGTCAGGCCAGAGCTCACCAGCTCTACCTGTCCTTCCCCAGCCCTGCTCTGTCTCAGGTGCCCTCTCTAGCCTAGCCAAGCAGTTAGGTTCTTTCTGCTGTGTACCTCCTCTCCAGGAGCCCTTCTTGTAGGGCACATCCAACCCTGATTGGCTGTCTCTAGTCCTTTTCTGATTTGGCCCACATTCCCAACCCAGTCCCAGGGCTGGATTTAACCTGTATTTCCCTGGAGTGGGGTGACTGCCCCACTACAGGTAGCAAGTGAAATGCTGCATTAGAGATGAGCTGTGTTTCAGAGAAAGGATATGTCTCGCCAGTTATTGAAGGCCTTAGGAAAGAGTAACCAGGTAGAGATAGTCAAGTTACCCAGAGGGGAAGGATGGCCGGCTTCTTTTGTTAGGGCACTAGACTGGGAATTGGCAGACGAGTGTTTTGTGAGGTGATTCGGTGGGAGTGCCTATAATGGTAATTCCAATATTTTTTTGAGATGAAGCGACCACATCTACATGCAAGATTCACGATGTGGGTGTCCCATGGATTTCCATAGAGGCAATATGATATTTTAGGCCTCATTATGTACCCCTTACCTAATGAGACACAGCATTCTGCTAGCTTTTTGACTGCCACTCTCTAAAAGCTCTGCTCTAGGAATTATAGGGCCATTCTGTGGTCTGGGCTGTGTAGTAGGTCAGATTAGATGCTCACAGTGGTACTTCCTGCCCTAGGAATTTATGAATTAAGGCCAACTCCCTGTTCTGTACTAGCTAGAGTTCTTAAGGAAGACATGTATTTCCTATTACTCCCATACAAAGACCCTGCACTGAAATATTTTGCATACTTTTTCTGACCTGCAGGAGATAGGTGGCTGTTTTTCTCTCACGCACAATGAATAAGTCCAGTAGATCACTTTGATTTGCATAAATGCATCTTATTTCTAACTAATAATTAATACCAGCTGTTGAACCAACAGAATTTGTGAGCAGCCTTGCCTTTGGGTTTCGTAGTGTATTGAATGCTTGGTCTCTCTACATGAATTTTTTTCAATGTCCTTTATTTAAAAAAAAAAAAAAATTTTTACACACCTATTAGCTAATTGCTGCTTGGGAACCAGCCATTAATGAGCCATTGTCTGCCTACTTTAGACTGTAAAATACCAATTGATAATATGAAAAAGGCATGTATGTGTTTAAAATAATTGTGTTACTATTACAGATTTCACTGCCAAAGTGTGTTTACATAGACTAGCAGGCAGAGAGGAAATGTGGTCTAGTAGTTTGAGCAGGACTCCCAGGTCTGATCCTGCAAGCACACATACACATGAGTTTCTTTATTCATGAAAACAATCCCATTGGCTCTGTAATTGATGTGGTTACTCATGGGCATTCTGTTTGCTGGTCTGGGTCACTGGGTCATTCCCAGCTCTGGCCTGACCTTTCCCTGGCACAGTGCATGGCTATCTGGCAGCTGGCAGTCTGATTGTAATGTGGGTAGTTTTGTAGCTGTGGTATCAAAGGCATCAGCGTGGGCTGTCCAAGTGTCCCACGGACCCTGGAGACATATTGTATTCTGAGCCTGTGCGGCAGCTGCATGCTGCTGTGCCCACCCAGCTATTGTCAGCTACAGCCAAACTGTGGGTGCAGGGCAGACTTACCCAGAGTCACTTCCAGCCACATTTCTGGAAGTGGCCACTAATTTTGGATGCCAGACTTGGATCCCATGGAGATAAAGTGGGCAGCTGCAGATTTGCAGGGCTTTCCTTTGGAGTATCAGATGCTGAAGAAGAGCTCCGTGTTGCACAAAAGCTTATCTCTCTCACCAATAGAATTTGACCCAATAAAAATAGTACTACTTAGAGTCATAGGGTTGGAGGAGACCTCAGGAGTCATCAAGTCCAGCCTCCTGCTCAAAGCAGGACCAACCCCAACTAAATCATCCCAGCCAGGGCTTTGTCAAACCAGGACTTAAAAACCTCTAGGGATGGAGATTCCACTTCCTCCCTCGGGAACCCATCCCAGGGCTTCTCCACCATCCTAGGGAAATAGTTTTTCCTAATCTTCAACCTAGACCTCCTCCACTGCAACTTGAGACCATTGCTCCTCGTTCTGTCATCTGTCACTAATGAAAACAGCCTCTCTGTCCTCTTTGGAACCCCGCCCGCCCTGCAGGCTGCTATCAGATCTTCCCTCACTCTTCTCTTCTGCAGACTAAATAAGCCCAAATCCCTCAGCCTCTCCTCATAGATCATGTGCTCCAGCCCCTAATAATTTTTCTTGCCTTACACTGGACGTTCTGCAATTCGACCACATCCTTTCTGTAATGGGGGAGGGGAGCAAAATTGGAAGCAGTACTCCAGATGTGGCCTCACCAGTACCAAATAAGGGAATAATCACTTCCTTAGGTCTACTTCATCCACCTTGTCTCTCTGGACATCTTTTAACTTTGTTGCTTGTAGCCTTAGTAGTTTTTCTTTGTTTATTAAAGGGCATACTGATACTTACAGTGAAGCTAAAGTCCAGCAAGGTGTAGAGATGAAAGCACTTACCAGTTCTACATATGTGTATGCGTTAATTGACATGTGGAGAATATGTGGGGCTCTCTAGCTTGCAGACCCTATAGGCAGGCCAAGTGTTATATTTCACGTGGCTGTAGTTTGAAAAAGCACATGCTTGTAACACATGTGGAGAAAATTATCTGGGATGGAGAGATGTTTTAGGTTCATATTTTCCCTAACATTTTGGGGTGGGTTTTTTTTTAATGGAAAGTGTTGCCAATCCAATCCAGGATGTTACACTTAACTTATTTCTGAGATAACTTAGATACGGTTTTTACAGCCCAGTGCAGAGGGTGATTGAGACTATAAAGCAAAGCCTTAAAACCACTGGATTTTTCTGCCTACCGTAATTCCACAATGAAACCATTTTACACTAAAGGAATTTAAGAAGAAAAAGCCTGGGCATCCTCTCCCTTCCTTCAGCAGCTGTTTTCACTCTGTATTTTAATGAGTGGGCTGAACTAAAACCATCAGGGAAGGGCTTTCCCCTCTGGCACCCCATGTAAAAGGCTTTGCTAGTGTGTCATGCTTTTTGCCTGTGTGAAATGAGTAAATGCCTATCGGTGGACAGTTCAAAGAAAGGGCTTCATCATGTTCTTGACTGGTTAAGTTCTTTGGTACAAGCTGTTTTTTATTTCCCTGGAATTCACATTAGTCACAAAAAGTGAGTATTTAAACTTCTGAAGATTTAAAACCTTAGCAGTCTCTTTTTAGGTTTTTCGGCATAAGTACCTTTTGGAGTCTCTGTTGCTTTTGGGGGTAGATTTTGTTTGAACTACTGAATTTTATATTCCCTGTGAACCGTTAATGTCTTTTCTGCATGATTTGTAATCCTGACCCATCTTTGTAAAGTGCTTTGAGATCCTGGTCTTTATAAATGCAGAATGCTGCTGTTATGCAGAAAATACAGTGGAACGTGTTGATTTTTTTAGATTGTAAATATTAATGTGATATATTAAACAATATGGACCCTGTTTCCAAAGGGAGTAGACTTTAAAGGTTACCTACCTTCTCTTAGATTGTTTCTGATTGTGCTGAGTGATTTTTATCCTCTAAAAATCATATGCTGTTTACTTGTCTAATCAGTCTGTCTTATTTGTGCTGAGAGCCACTGACTGCTTTGTGGATTTTAATTCAACTTTATAGCAACAGGTAATTTCCCATTCCTTTAAGAACTTTCTGATGCTAAATAGAACTGAGAAAATGGTGAAAGTGGTGTTCCCTTTTTGCTGGTTTTCCTTCAGTGCTAGATTGCATTTGTTAAACTCAGCAAATAGCAGAATTCCCCCTAGAATACTGGGAAGCAGCCCAAAAAAAACTACAGTTACATTTTGCTGGAGGATTCTTGCAGCATTTTTTTAGAAGTCTGTTGAAATACTTTGTTAGAATTACATTCCTGGCTGATACATTCTCAAAAAAGCAGCTGTGTTAAATTTCTTTAAATGAACCTCCACAAACCAAAGGTACAAGAGATCCCCTCTGCAAATGCAAGTTAATTATTAGCAATAGAAGGGAAAGTGCCATTTACAAGATAACAGCATTTGCCTCTGAGAAATATTGTACAACATGGGCAAACAAGAAGAGCTCCTCAATTGTTGCCATTTTTATTTTTTCAAACATTTTGCTAAAGTTACTGTCTTAAATTGGTAGAAAATAGGGGATGAAACCAGATCAGGGATCCAAACAGCTTTGAACTTCAGATCTTGTTCTGAACTCACAGCTATTCCCTGAATCACTGATGGCTAAGCCCAGCTTTGGTGATTCAAGTCCATCACTCATAGCAGGGTTCAGTTATTTTAAAACTATTAAGGCTAAATTTTGCTTTTGGTTCCATCCTGAACAGCTGCTCCAAATTCAGTGATTCCAGATTCAGTGATGTACACTCATGTGACTGAACAGATTTTTGACTCTTTGGGTTTAATATCATGTTTGTGGTTTGCGTTTAATACCTTCATTGACTCCAAAATTAGAACTCTGGGCTAGATCCTCAGCCCTGTTCTGCCTGTCTTCTAGCACCCTGCAATGAAAACATTAGGAAGGGGGGCGGGAAGGGAATCTAGGTTTCTATCCCTCTATTATTTCCTACTACAGTGCAGGTAGGACCCAGATATGTTCTCCCTGCACAGATTGGGGGGGGGGGGGGCAGACAAGAGCAGGACCCAGAAAGGGGCTGGAGCAGCTACCTCAGTGCGTGAGATCAGGCTGGCCACTTCCCAGCCCAGCCTGGCTCTGCCTTTAAGCCACCTGGGTTCTGATGGACACACCCACCCTAGGGAGAAGGAGGAGCAGGAGCAGATGTACTAGGTGCTGAAATGGCATTGGGAATGGGGGAAGGGAGGCATTGGTGTACAGTAGGGATGTAAAGGTTTAACTGGTGAGCATTGCCTTACCAACATGCTTATCGGGTTAACTGGCACCTGGCTGGAGCAGCCCCCTGCCCGCCACAAGCTGCTGGGGGGGGGTGCCAGCCCCTCTATGTCACACCACGCCATGGGGGTGCACTCCAGCCTGGCTGGGCCAGAGGAGCTCCCTGCCCATAGCGCAATATGGTGGGCCCTGCCTGGCCTGGCCAGAACAGCCCCCTGCCTGTGGCTTCAGTGCCCCACCCATGGCGCAGTGCAGCAGGCGGCTAACTGGTTAAGCCTATAATTTAACCGTTTAACGGATTTTACACAGGACCTGGCTGTCCTCCCCTACTACATCTGAGCTGCTCTGTCTTCATGCACATGGAGCTTCCACCCTCAGCACGGAGAAGCCAGGTCTCCTGTGTCCCGGTTCAGTGTCTCATCCCATCCACACGTTGCCCTGTAGACTGCTTTGAAAATCCCCAGCCTTAGGAATGAGCCTTAGAGAGGAGCCACCATTCTTAGTCACGTTCCTTTCCAATGCTTCTCATCACCAACAGGGTTTGGGGACCTATCAGAGGGTTTGCAGTCCAGTCCTCTCCAGCAAGGCCAGTTTTCACCTGGGCTCTAGCACAGGTATTTCCTCTGTAAATCTGTAGACAGAGGAATTAAACAAATACATAATTCCACTGACATTTTGTCTTGCCTGTGACAGCTTATTTAAACACTTCCCTGTTGTAATCAAGAGCAGGAAATTGACCTTTTTTAGTCCCACATGCTTGCACTGGAGACAGCGGGTGATCTCATGTCCTTGTTGCAGTTCCCACACAATATTTACTACATCCTGGATGTTTGCTCTAAAATGTCTGCTTTTCTTAAACAATGAGACACAGAGTCCTGTGTCACCTTAGAGATTAAGTGGTTTGTTAGGGCAGCTTTTGTGGGTAAACCCCATTCATCAGGTGGACGTATTTTACATTTTACCCACAAAAGCTTTTCCCTGATAAATCTGTTAGTCTTTAAGGAGCCATAGGACTCTGCATTGTTTTTGCAGATCCAGACTAACCTTCTGGTGCTTCTCCTAGGGAAGAGGAAACTTGCCATAAAAGTTCTCCCCAATAAGGCATGTGCTTTAAGAAAGGATTGTGACTTTAAAATCAACTAGGTCTTTTCATGTGATTAGCTACTCCTATAAATGAAAAAATTAGTGTCATATGGCTCCCCCCCCCCCCCCCAGGTCTGGCCTTACCATGAGGTGAACTGAGGCGCCTGCCTCAGGTGTGGTGGGGGGTGGGGGGGTGCCACTAGGATCCAGAGTGTAGACAATTGTGTCTGCTGCTGGTGCATCTGTATTCTCTCCGCTCTAGATGCACAGAGATGGCGGAGTGCTGTGCTGGAGGAAGGAGGGAACGAGACATAACAGGCAAGCAGGAGAAAAGGTGGCATGGGGGTGTCATTTGAGCTCCCCACCTCAGGTGCCAAAATGTTGTGGGCCAGTCCTGCCCCCCCCCCCACACACACACTCACAGTGAGGCTATGGGTTTGTAAACAAGAAACCATCCAAGAATACCGTGGGTTTTGGCAAGGGGTGAAACATTTGACAGGAAGCTCATCTGTGGATAACATACAATGCTACCACTTTAAATAACTTTTTAACGCAACCAGAAAGTTTCCCATATTTTTCTAGTGTGCTGATTCATATTCTCACTGCTTTTGAACATGTTGATATGATTTAGATTTGTGGACTTTTCTAAAGATCTAAAATTGCCTCCTGCATCTATAATATTGATGGGAGAAAGGGTCTGGTTTGCTAGAGAGCTGTTTAAAATGCTTTACTTTCCTATTTGAACCAAGGCTTTTCATTCGCAGTAGCATTTAGTAACTCAAGCCTTGAAAAACTTCCATACATGGTTAAAGTGTAAACACCAACAGGGGTTTGCTTATTTAAACCGTAGTGTCAGACAAACTTGGGTGGCTTTCTTCTGAGCTCTGTCCTGCATCTTGATGTGGCTGCTACTAAATGTACCCAAAGACAAGCCTCTCCAAGCAGCATGAGGGTGGAAGCTAATCAAAGGAAGTCATTTCTGTCAGTGGTAAATATTCCATGCTCAGATCTGCCATGCTGATGATAAGGGTGGTATAAATACACAGACAGAAGCCAACCTTCCTGAGCCCTGAAGTTAGGGAAAGCCAGAAAGATGGGCATCTCTCTGTTGGTAGTTTCACGGGGCTCCTTCAGCCTTCTCACTATTCTCCCACGGCTTCCCAGGCCTCCCGTCTTTTCCCCATGCTCCACTGCTCTGCTGGTGCAGTAACGGGGCAATACTTTTAACTTTGTGTGTTGGTGCTAGTTGGCTTGCAGTTGCATCCATTTGTCTCTTTAGACCAGCTTAGTGTAAACAGCACTTACTACTGACCGTGTTAGTCTGAAAAGTCAGCAGAACTTCTAAGCCCTTACATGGCTTATTGCATCTCCAAGTTTAAATGTAAACAATCCTGAGACATATTTTACAAGCTCTCATACAGTTGGCCGAGCCCTGATATTAGCAAGTCACTTCTCATTACCACTTGGGGGAGGTAATGTTAATGTCAGGCTGGGGCTCCTGCATTCTAATGCTGGTTCTGCCTAGCCTGTGACGGGATGGTGAGTAAGTAAGTCACTGACCTGCTCTGCGTGAGATTTTCTTCAGCACACAGCATTGGCCAAACTTTGCTCCCACTGAAATCAGTGGAGGTCTAACTCTTACTTACACTCAGGCCACTATAGGACCCTTAAGATTGGGCCTTTTATGCTTCCTGACCAGAATTAGGCGCCTCAGTTCAAATGAGACTCAGGCCCTGGGAATTTTACCTCTGGCTTCAGTGGGACCAGTTGGTTTACAGCTTTGGAAGCCCCATCTTGTGTGTCTCTGTTTCCCAATATGTAAATTGGGGGCAAAGAATGCTGGCTCACCTGCCCCATTAGGCTGTGGCAAGAGTTAATTAATTTTTGTACAGCTCTTTGACAATATCCACTGGTATGTAAGTGCCAACTCACAGCATTGACTTTATATCACTCTAAGGAACTTTGCTAGATGGACTGATTTAGTTTTATTAAGCAGACACACACAAGTATTGAAGATTAATACAAGAAGCCAACATGCCATGTGGGTTGCTGAAGTGCTAGACTGCACCATTGAGCGATGTCCTGTTTTGTGTTTACCGTCCTATAGATTACAAGACTGTTAGTGAGAGCCATTTACATTCTGCCATTGCATTATAACAATCTACGAATTGCCCATGTCATTTTGTAATGGATCTTTGTTAAAGTTCACAGGGA